TCGTAGGAATTTTTTTGAAATTGCATGCTACGTTCCCCAACACAAGACACCTGCCTACCTGGGCATGCAGACTGTATCCCAAGCGACGGAGCAGTTCTCGCCGTTGGCCTAGGCCTTGCCGCACCACAGAAAACCCCGGATGATCTTATTCTTGGCATGTATAGTCTTCATGGGGAGGGCCAGGGCTAGCATGGCATGCATAGGTATCGAACATATAATTGATAGGACCAAAGTGAGTCTTCCACTCTTCGGAAGGGTAGCTGCCTTCCATGTTGGCAGGCACTGTGCCAATCGCTCCACCAAGTATTGTAGCTGAGCCACAGACGTTTTTTTGAGACAGAGAGGGAGGCCCAGATACCTACAAGGGAAGGCCCCGATTTGGCAACCCATATTGGTTGCTGTTAGCTGTTTCTGCTCCTCCGAGCAGCGGATCAAAATGGCTGCCGTTTTGTTGAGGTTCACGTGAAGACCAGACGCGGAACCAAACAGTTGCAGGATGTGTATACAAGCGCTCAGATCCGATGTGTCTGGCTTGAGGAAGACAATCACATCATCTGCAAAGATGGATATCCGTTGCTTGATTCCCTCCCACACGAGGGAGGCTAGGGACCTGCATGTCCATGGCTAGATTGAATAGCTTCTGTAATGGCTCCATGATGATGATGATAAAAAGCATGGGAGAAAGGGGGGCGCCCTGCTGGAGGCCCTTGCAGCTGTGGATTGAGGAGCCCATCGTTCCATTGACCATGACGCGGGTGGAGGAAGTGGCCAGGAGCCCCGTCATCCAGTTCGTCCACGTTCTACCGAAGCCCATCGCCTGCAGTACCTCAAGAATGGCCATTGAACAATGTCGAAGGCCTTTGAAATATCCAACTTTAGCATGATGGTGGGTGTTTGAGTGCATGGAGACGCCTTGCCATGCTCTGGACCAGCATGAAATTATCGTGTAGTGCTCTCCCCTTGATAAAAGCGCTATGGTGGAGGCCGATCAAGTGTGGCAACTCCTGTGCTAGCCGGCACGCTAGTACTTTGTCGAAAATTTTGATCGCGCCATGCATCAAGCTTACGGGCCTGATGTCCCGCAATTCCTCTGTGCCATCTTTTTTTGGCAGAAGAGTAACAAGTGCCTTATTGATGGAGGCCAAACCCCTCATATCTTCGCGGTGGAACATTGAGAAAGCAGCAAATATATCATCCTTATTGATGGGCCAGCAGGATTGCAGGATACATAAAATCTTGTTGTGAATCCATTCGACCCCAGAGCTTTGTCGAGTGGCATGGAATTAATTGTATGCATAATTTCCTCCTCCGAGAATGACCCTTCCAGTCCACCTAGATCCCGTACAGGAAGACCAAGAGCGTTCAGGTTGAGTCGGAATTGGCGCGGAGCTGTCGTGCCCAATAGCCTGTTATAGTAGTCGTCCACAATGGACGCAATGTTCTCTTGGCCAGTAATGTGCTCGCTATTGTGCGCCAAGGACATCAACACATTCTTTCTCTGTCGATGCCGCGCATGCTGGTGGAAGAATCTGGTATTGGCATCTCCATCCTTAAGGTGAAGAAGACGGGATTTTTGTCTCGCAATCGTTCGTTCGAGCGACGAAAGCCCAATGAGATTTCTCTTCAACGTGCACCTGAGCTCGATCTCTGCTGCCTTGAGGGGCCTAGAGTCCATCGCCACATCCAGCCGAAGTATGATTTCAAGGGCAATTGCGATTTGGAGGCCAATGTTGCCAATCCACCTGGAACTCCATGCTTGTAGGTGACGGGCCGTGGCCCTGAGTTTGTCATTGAGAGTCAAGTATGGATTATCGGTCAAAGGTGTAGAGGTCCACGCCTCTTGCACTGTCTCAAAGAATCCGGGTGCTTTAGGCCAGAAGGATTCGAATTTAAATCTCTTCCTGAAGTGAAAGTCCGCATGCAAGTCCAGAAGAAGCGGACAATGATATGAGATAGTAGATCCAAGAGCGGTGAGAAGAGAGGAGGTGTATGCATCTTCCCATGAGTTCGTAGCAAAGACGTGATCAATCTTTTGCAGGGTTGCTAGCTCCCTCTCATTAGACCCGGTATATCTTCTCCCGTTTAGGTATATTTCCTTCAATTTCATCGTGTTCAACTTGGACCGGAATCTAGACAATCCCTCCTGTTGACGGCATCGTTGCTCTTATCCTTGGGGTTTACCAAGAGATTGAAGTCTCCAGCCACCATCCACGGTCCTGCTCGTAGCTCTGGAAATGCTTTTGTTCATGTAACTTGATGAAAATATGTGCATGATTACTTTTAAAATATTGTAAAACTTTAATCAAGTGTCTAAATAAAAAGAAGAAAATAAAGGTTTTCAAGGATGAGAAATGATGACTCGGAGTGAGTTTTCCCACGTCACCTCGCCAGCCTCCAAAATATTACCAAGCCTGTTGCATGCTTGCATGTAACGACTGCAAATATGGTAACTCTGCTGATTGCATTTACGTTGAATTTCGCATGGGCTGACTAAATGGATGGACATCCTCCCGCGCATAAGATGATAACTATGACACGGAGGACAGCTCACGCGCGGTGGTAATACGCCAAACAGGTGGATGGAAAAGGACACGAGTCCATGATTGATGTTGGTGGGAAGTACGTACTGTAGAAGGGAGAAGACGAATTATAGAATGCTCCAACGCATCGCCGCACAACGTTGACGACGCAATTAGCTGGACAGGCCAAGGTAGGAAGGAACCTACCGACGTTTCCAGCACATGCAACATATGATATTTATCCATCCATAGTTGACTAGGACCAGTTCTGGCTCTGCCAGCTAGCTGCCTTTCTCTTCTTTTTCTTGAGATGAGCTAGCCGCCTTTAAGTGCAAGAGTAAAAGCGATTCTACCACATTCGCTACATCGGCAGCCTTTACATCACATATAACACATGTTTCATATAAATAATATAGCCAGTTGTTGGCTATATGCACTTGTCATGTCATCAATTGTTAGCAATATTAATTACTCATACAGTAGAGTTGGCTATAAGTTCATAATTTTTTTTTCATTTTCTCTCTATCTCTTCTTATTACCAAGTGGCCAGCCTGGTAAGCTACCAACAAAAATATTGCAATCTCTATCTCTTTTTTTATTATTAAATGCTTTTATCTAGGAGCATGTGCAGAGGCTGGCTCTTGCATGAGAGCCCACTCCTTTACTTTTTTCTTGTCTCTCTCCACATAGGCAAAAGTGTCCTGTAAACGTTTAAAAAAAGTGTCATGTAAACGGGCTTATAGCCCACTATTGTACTTGCTCACAGATATATGGAGACCATTGAGCGAAAACGCAAATACAGAATTGTCGTAATGTGAGTTTTATATCTGTCCCGTAAGTAGGACCCATATGATACTGGAGCACGTATTCTTCTCTGAAATATTCAGACGAACTCATTGAACTCATAAAATAGGTTCATAAATATCGATTTTATTCATAGATGTGGAAAGAAAAATTAGTCGCCTTGCGACTTAGATTCATACAACACTTGATAATTAGTTAAATTACACACTAATTAGTTAAACTTGTTGGGGCCACAGTCACCTCCACCTCAATTGCCACCACCACGGCCATTACCACAACCAGCCCCATAGCCACGGCCATGGGTGCCCCCACAGTCACCGCCACCACCGGTGTAGGATGTGGCAATGTTGGAATGCTTGGGTTGGCAATGCGCCTCAGCGGCGTTGTCCTAGGCCGGCTATTCATCTGCAACAGCGGGAGCTGGGGCCCAAATCTGTTGCTCCATAGTGGACCACCCTAGCCTCAACATATGGAGGCTGCGAGGTCGTTTATGGAGCGAACTCCATAAACTATGACGAGCGAGAGTTATATGATGACTCTATTAAAGTGCCATTTCTAACCAAAATCACTATATTGACGGCTATTATAGCGATCGAGACTATACAGACGCTGCTAGAGTTTTTTTAAGTATCCTCTCACTGGATAGTAAAACGAAACATTAGATACTTTTGACTAACTGCATGCCTAATTCATACAAGTACTAGTCTCCTTGTCATAGTTGGCACAAGGATTTGATAAACAGTTACTTTGTTAATATATACTTTCTATGATATAGAATTTATGTAATACTTTGAAGTTGAAAGTGTTGATTTTTTTGACAGCCAAAAGTGTTGCTTCTGTTGGAATTAAACCCGACTAATTCCCCCGGTGGCCGGTTTGTGTCCGACTCGTCTACGTACATGTATCCTAGTAGGACTAGAATTAGCAACCGAGTAGTAGTACATTGGATAGCTAGCTGGTTCTCTATATATGCGTGTACCTTGGCTTGTAAACACAACCGTGGAGATCAATAAAGCAAAGACAAGGCTCGATATGAGCCTTTGGCAATAATCCAATTACTACGTGCGTGCGTTTATTTTCCGGCGGCCCACCGTTGTGTACGCGTGTGTGATTTGGTGTTGCTTGTCGAAAGATTGATCAGGAGCAGACTAGCTAGTACAAGCTAGCTTTGTACTACAGTGCGTCTCGGTGTAAAGTAAGTCGTCGAGTTCGTCAACGAGCTTCGTTCGTTATCATCGTTCGTCGTCGGTTGTCGCCGTCGTCGGAAAGTACTCAGCGTCGGATCTGGGCCAACAATTGATATCAGAGCAAGGTTGATCTTCTAGTAATGGGGGATCATGTCGGACGACGAGAAGGCCAAGCAGCCGGCGAAGTACTCCGGTGCGGCTAAAGTAATTGCTGCCCCGGCGAGATCGGAGTATCCACGATTCGACCGTGGGAACTTCGTGGTGTGGGCAACCATGATGGAGTGGGCGCTCGAGGCCAATGAGCTCTGGGAAGCCGTCGACCCCAGCAGTGAGGAGTACCTGAAGGGTGGTGCCTTGTATCGGAAGGATCACCAGGCTATCATGGCCATCTGCTCGGTGATGCCGGTGGACGTGCAACAGCATCTTATCTCGAAGACATCAGCGAAGGAGGCGTGGGACACGCTCAAGACGTTGCATCTAGGGCACTCACATGTGCGCGAGGCGAACTTTGCTGAAAAGTTATGAGAATCTGAGGATGGGAGAAGATGAGACGGTGGAGGCCTTTGCGGCGAGGGTTGCTTCGATGGTAAACGGGATTCATGGTCTCGGAGAGAAGTTGGAGGACATCTCTGTGGTCCGCCATTTCCTATGTGCCGCTCCACCGCGCTACATGCTGATTGTGTCAACAATCGAGCAATGTGTTGATCTCAAGACTCTCACTTTGGATGATCTGGTTGGTCGCTTCAAGGCCCATGACGAGCCGATGAAGCTGAGTTACGGTGATGCAAAACAGGATGAGTACCTGATACTAACGCGTGCTCAGTGGCAGGCATTGGTTTCCAAGGAGAACAATTTCGACAAGGCGTCTGGTAGCGGCGGAAAGTACTGTCCCGCAAAGGACACTGACGAAGAGTCGGAGAAGCCAAGGAAGAAAAAGTTCGACAAGAGAAAGATCCGCTGACACAACTGTAATCTGCTCGGACACTTCAAGTCGGAGTGTAAGAATCCCCCGAAGGAGAAGGCGCTCATGGACCAGCTAGAAGATGAAGGTGACATGATGTTGATGTGTGAACTCGTGGACGAGGAGGATCCAGTTTTTCAAGCGTCGGTTAAAGAAATTGTCGAGCTCCGTGAAGAAAAAGTTCGCTCTCAAGATCGTGGTTCGGAAACTCGTGTCGATGCTACAGACGTGAGGGGTGATTTCGAATGTTGTGTCGATGATAGAGACACGAAAAGTTATGTTGAAATTTGTGTCGAAAGTAATGACACTGGTGGTACGTTCTCTAGCATGAGCGTGAGGATGGATACGGAAGTATCGAGTGGATCCTCGTTGATGAGCTCTAGCACAAGCATGAAGAAACATGGAGCTGAGAACACGTCGTGGCTCGAAGGCGAAGGGCACGGTAGCGTTGCATGCAGCTCAGGAACGGGCGCAAAATGCAACCTAAGCGTTGCTGTAGAAAGACTTGAAGATTTTTTTTAGATAAAAGGTGAGAGCCTGACTTTATAGATAAAGCCATCAGGCAGAGTCACAACCACCAAAAGGGAACCACATAAGTTTAACACAGTACGACTAAAAAGTATGGGTACAAGGCATCCAACCTATCATGACACGCAGACCAGCCAAACGAGCAATCGAAACACTAAGAAACCGTCCTCTTGGACCGTCGCAGTAGAGAAGAAGCCGTAGATTTCATTTTGGATAGCATATCGTCGAACGCCTCAAGGTCCCCATCCTTAGTCAATGATCTCCACTGCTGCAAAAAGACATTAGCTTTAAATACGCAACTCACAGGGTTAGCCGGGAAAATATGTTCAATAGTGAACTTGTTTCTAATAGTCTAAAGCACCCAACAGATCGCTGCCCAACCCACCATGAAAACCCGCTTAGACCGGCCTGCTAGAGAATTGATACATCGCCGAAGATCGCAAAAGAGGAAGGGTTCCAAGGAACATGAAGCCAAAGTCTAATGGAACTCCAAATGAATTTAGCTAAAGAGCACTGGAAGAAGATATGTTCTGTATCCTCTAGGGCGCCACACAAATGACAACTATCAGAACCCGGCCCATTCCTCTTTTTAATCTGGTCAGCCGCAGGAAGTTCGCGACGAAGAGCTTGCCAAAGGAAGATTTTGATCTTAGGAGGTATGCGGGCAGACCAAATAAGTTTAAACTTGTCAGTGCGAACACCAGCGATGAGATGCGAGTACGCCGACTTAACAGAAAAACGCCCCAAGGGGAGTGGGGCCAAAAAACGGAGTCCTCTTCCTCCGAGAGCAAGGGGAAGCAGGCAGTAAGGCGTTGCCAATCTTCCAACTCCGCAGGGGAAAGAGAGCGCCGGAAATCTAAAACCCAACCCTGAGCCGAGAGCTCAGAGATAGAGATCTCAGGGTTAGCACAAAACGAAAACAAAGTCGGGTAAGCCACCGCAAGAGTAGAGTCCCCAACCCACCAATCTAACCAAAAACGCGTAGATTTGCCATTACGGACAACGAATTTCACCAGGGACCGGAAGATCGGTCTAATACTAACGAGCTGGCGCCAAAATTGAGAGCCACCAGAAGAGGAAGCGAACATAGGACTCGAGAAGGGAAAATATTTAGCTTTGAAAAGGTTAAGCCAAGCAGGACGTTCATCAAGGGACATAATCTTCCACCACCATTTTAACAAGAGGCACTTATTCATGATTCTAGTGTTAATGATGCCAAGGCCCCCCTTGTGCTTAGGTCTGCAAATGAGGTCCCACTTGACCATTCTATATTTGCGTTTGTTATCGGAGGAATTCCAGTAAAAGGCACCCCTGTGCTTGTCGAAGCCCGCGTGTGTCCCTTCAGACAGAAGATAGAAGCCCATTAGAAACATCGGGAGAGAGGAAAGGCAGGAGTTGGTAAGGGCGACCTTGCCCGCCTGAGAATTATAGTGACCTCGCCACGGCAAAACTCTATTGCCAACTTTAGTAACAGCCGGAGCAAACTCTTTGGCCAAAAGCTTAAGAGGGGAGATAGGTAAGCCCAAGTATTTGAGAGGAAAGGATCCTAGCGAGCAATTCAAGAGATGGGCGACCCTCTGCGCTTCTGAGGCAGATACCCCAGTCACAATGACCTCGCTCTTAGAAAAATTGATTTTAAGGCCCGACAAGGCTTCAAAGCAGAGAAGAAGAAATTTCAGATTTGTGATGGAGTTATCATTAAGTTCAACCAAAATGATGGTGTCATCCACGTACTGAAGGTGAGAGATGCCATTAGGAATAAGATGGGAGCTAACCGGCGAGATGTGACCAGCAGCCGCAGCGCGAGACAGAATGTGAGATAAAGCATCAGCCACAAAATTGAAAAGCAAGGGGGACGCCGAATCTCCTTGCCTCAGGCCCCTACCGTTGGCAAAGAAATTACTGGTCTGGCCATTGACAGCCACCGCCGTGTGCCCACCAGTGACAAGTTGCATCAAACGGTGGACCACCGCACCATCGAAGCCCTTGGCCAACAGAACTTGGTGAAGAAAACCCCAGCTGACTGAGTCATACGCCTTTTCGAAATCAAGTTTAAGGACCACAACCTTGGTGTTCTTACAATGAAGGTCATGAATTATCTCATGAAGGCAAAGCACCCCATCCAGAATGAATCTCCCCTTAATGAACGCGGATTGGAAAGGGCTAATAACCCGATGGGCGATCGGGGAAATTCTAGTAGCCATCCCCTTGGCAGGAATCTTAGCAAAATTGTTAATCAAAGCAATGGGTCTAAATTGGGAGATCAAGTCAGCGCCTTTAACTTTAGGAATGAGGGTGAGAACTGTGTAGTTAAGTCTCGAGATGTCAACAGTCGCCAACCAAAAACCTTGAGATATAGCCATAATTAGGCCCTTTAGCTGAGGCCAGAATTGCCGGAAGAAAGGAATGGAAAAGCCGTCAGGCCCAGAAGCCGCATTCAGGTTGGTAGAACGGATCGTCTCAAAAATTTCCTCTTTCGTGGGGGGGATCAGCAAACTCTCATTGTCAGCGACCGAAAGCTGGTCCAGAGGAGACCAAAAGGGAGAGGCCAAATTAAAGCCTAGAACGGGTTTAATAGCTAGGAGGTTAGAGAAAAAATCAACCACATGACGCATAATCACTGAGGGGTCAGAGACCCTGACGCCGTCGATCGTAAGGCTATCAATAATGCATCTCCGGCGTCTGCCGTTAGCAATCGCAAAGAAATAGGACATAGGAGAGTCACCCTTTAAGGTCCAGTTGATAGTACCACGCTGTTTCCAGTACACTTCCTCTTGCCTATGAATGCCCAGCAGCGCCTCTTCTAAACCATACCGAGTTTGCCATTCAGTCTAGGACAACCCAAAGCTATCGACGTGATCATCTAAAACGCCAATTTGAGCAACCAACCTAGCTTTGTCACGCCTAGACTCAGTGTAATGGTTTTTAGACCAACCTCTAAGGAATCTACGCAAAAAATAGGAGCATTGATGCCAGTCATCCATGGGGCCAAAAGAGCGTCGAATAGAGGAGAGGAAAGTCAGAATCTTTTGAGCCACCAACTCGTTAAAACCTTCCACTTGGAGCCATGAAGCATCAAACTGGAATCTCGGGAAACCAACTGGGCGCGAACCATCATCTAGAATCAAAGGGGTGTGATCAGAGCCAACACAAGCCAGAGCTCTAAGACTGACACGGGGGAATAGAGAGTCCCACCTAGAGCAAACAAAAACCCTATCAAGAACAGAACGAATTGGGGGATTTTGATGGTTAGACCAGGTGAAACGGGCTCCAACCCTAGGAATCTCCCGAATAGCCGTGTCCCTAATAAAAGCATTAAAAGCATCAGCCAGGGGCCAGGAGAAGTTAGACGAGCTCTTGTCAGAAGGGAAACGAAGCAAATTAAAATCGCCCCCGATCAGGAGGGGTAGCTAACAGGATTCAATTTTAATACTAATCTCGTCGAAGAAGGCATAAGACATCGCGTGGTCAGCCAGACCATAAACCACCATGATTTCCAACAAGGAATTGAGGGATCGAAGGGAAACCACCATACTAGCCCAAAAAATGCCATGGTCGAAAGCCACAAAGTCGAAAGTATCTTTTTTGGCACCAAGCAAAAGACCACCGGAGAGCCCAGCCGAGGCCACATAATTCCAATGAAATCTGTCTATCCCAGCAATGGCCGATAGGTCACTCGAGGAAAAGGAAGATTTGATAGTCTCAACAAGGCCAATAAAGTCTACGTTTTTAGATCAGACCAGGTCTTTAAGTTGGTCCCTGCGCCCCCTAGCACCGAAACCACGAATATTCCAAATTAAGGCCTTCATCTAAAACATAGGTTTTTGATACGGAGACTTGACCTGCTCGGCGCCATGCAGGATTTAGCACGCTTCCTTGCCACACGAATAGAAGACACCGGGGGAGCTTGACACCTGTCATCTCCCCCCTCGTCCCCACCGGCCACAACCGGTGGGGCAGCCGAACCCACCCGAGCCTCCTTGGCCTTTGCAATATCATCCTGGGCTACCTCATTTGCCCTAATAACACCAAAAATCGACGAAGGGGAACCCATGTTAGAATCTAAGCAAATACCAACATCATCTAGAATTTTGAGCAAGTGATCATCAGATTGTGAAGGAACAACTAAACGCACAGGGGAGACAACCGTGGGGAGGGAGGGGGAAGGGGCTGGGGACGAACCTGAAGGGGGCAGATCCCGAGCTGCAGCACGCCGAGCCGCCCGATCGACCACCCGCTCACCGCAGTTGGAGACGCGGCCGCTCTTGCGGGCCGTGGACGCAGGCGAGCGCACAGGCACAGGACGAGCACGACTGGGGGAAGCCGCAGCAGAGGACGGGCCCAAAGCCGCACCCATATCAACATCAAGCCTACGACAGAGCCCAGCCGCGGACTGCCTCGAGTCACCTGAAGCACGGCTCTTGGCGGAATATTTCTTGACAGAGGACTTCTTCTTCTTCTTGGACACAGCA